AGTTGGGAGTGAAGCCTACTCTGGCTGAAAAGCCTGTGGAAAATCAGACAACTGAGTTGTTACAGGAAGTATATGCTGGGACTTTTCCTTACTGTATCACAAAGCCATAGGTTGAAATAGGATGAAAAATCAAGGAGTAAAGATAAGGAAGTTGAAGTTCAATTATCAGAAACTATATTTGATCAAATGTCTGAGAGAAAACAAGGACAGCTGGAGGACAAAGTAGATATTTTTAGTTCAGAGAAGTTAGCCGAGTTACAACAGAAAAATGAAAAATAAAGCTGTTATATCAAAAAGCCATATGCAAAAGAATCTGAGTGTATCATAGAATGTTACTTTTTAAAAATGAAGTCTTGATGAGGAAATGGAGACTATCACATATTCAGGTGGTTGAGGGTCTATAGTCAAGACAATGCAGAGGATCGGGATAAAGGAATTCCATTTGTACATTTTGTAATTAGAGATGTGCCTAATGAATCAACTAAATTCAGTTCCTTTGGAGACAACAAGGTGCAGGGCTGGATGAACACAGCAGGCCAAGCAGCATCATAGGAGCAGAAAGCCTGCTGTGTTCATCCAGCCCTGCACCTTGTTGTCTCGGATTCTCCAGCATCTGCAGTTCCTACTATCTCAGTCCCTTTGGATTAGTTTTTGACCATGAGGTGAAAGGATCACTTAAATTAACTAAGAAGAAATTGATGAGTCAGAGTTCAGAGACTATATATTTGGACTCTGTGTCACATTTTAGGGAGAGATTAAACAGAACAGGTGAGCTGGCTAGACAGCATTTAAATGTAGCACAGCATGTGATGAAACAGGAAAAGACAAGAGATCAAAAATTTGTCATTTTACTAGTGGAGATAAAGTGTAAGTGTTACTACCAGTGGTAGGTGAACCTTTAAAGGTAAGGTTTAGTGGGCCTTATCAAATTGAAAAGAAATTGAAAAGAAATTGAGTGAGGTGAATTATTTGATAAGAACACCAGATAGAAGGAAAACGCACAGACAGTGTATCATGAGAATATGCTCAAACAGTAGTTTGATAGGGAAGGAAAGTAAAATAAGAATACGTTACTGGTTACAACACAAAGTGAAGAACCAAATCCAGATGATTCTGAATTTGACATTCCTCAAATTAAACTGGACAATGAAGAAGTTCTCAAGAATTGAGATAAATTATTGAGTTACCTTCCAGAGGAAAATCAAAATGACCTGAAGCGGTTATTACAATCACATGGGGTGATATGGGGAATAAACTAGGAAGAACTAAACTGATTATGCATGATATCGATATAGGAAATGCTGTTCCAAATAAGCAACATCCTTATCAGCTTAACCCTCTAAAATTGGCACAGGTTTACAAAGGAATTGAAAGCATGCTCAAAGACAACAAAATAGAAGTGAGTTGCAGTGAATGGAGTTCACCCATAGCAATGCTGCCAAAACCAGTTGGTACCCAATGATTATGTGTGCACTATTGCAAAATCAATGCAGTTACAAAATCTAATTCCATGTTTGGAAGACTGTGTTGAGAAGGTGGGACAAGTAACTTGTATTAATAAGTTAGGCTTACTCAGGGGATACTGGCAGATAACTTTATCTGAAAAAGCAAAGGAAATTTTGGCTTTCATGACACAAATGGACTTTACCAGTTTAAAGTCATGCCATTTGGTATGAAGAATGTGCCAGCCACATTTCAAAAATTAACTAATGGTCATTTTGGGATTACCCAATTGTGTGGTATATCTAGATGATCTGGTGATTTTTAGTCACATATGGTAGGAATATTTAGAGCATCTAGCAGAATTATTTGACCAACGACAGGAAATGGACTTGGTGATAAACTTGGCTAAGAGTGAGTTTGCAAAACCCCAAGTCATGTTCCTTGGCAATATCTTTGGATATGAACAGATGGCCTCACGGAATGTGAAAGTAAAAGTTATAGCGCATTTCCCAGACCATTGATTCCTGTTACCAAGTGGTTTTTATTGAACATTCATACTGGATTTTATCAGTGTCGTTGCTCCACTGACTGAACTGTTGAAGAAGTGCTGAAAATTTCAGTGGATGGAAGAGTGTCAGAAGGTAGTTGATAGCCTGAAAGCTGTGTAAACCATCACTCTAGTGTTAGCAACACCTAACTGCACAAAGCCATTCAAGGTGGCTATCGATGCGAGTGATGTGGATGTACTCTTACAAAAGATGACAAGAAGATAGAAAGACCGAATGGATATTTTTCCAGAAAGTTGAATATTTATCAAAAGAAATATTCCACCAATGAGAAAGAGACTTCAAGTTTGATGTTAGCATTACAACATTTCAGCATTTATGTTGCCAGTAATGTATCTGAGACAATGGAGATACTGATCATAACACCTTTATGTTTTTAGAAATATCCAAGGATAAAAATACCAGACTGTTTAGATGGAGTTTATTGTAACACCCATTCAATTTGAAAATTATACTTGGTATGACGAGAGAATGTAATTGCCTATCCTTTGTCACAACTTTGATGAAGGAAGATGGAGCAGTTTGATGGCAAAAGAAATGGACTGAGATGGACTGTAGTACTGAAAGTTTGCATGATTAGGTTTAATGTACTGTATATCTATAATGTAGCATACTAATAACATGAGACTAAAGTCTTTGAAGATGAAGCCATCTATGAATATTAATGGTTCATAATGTTGTAAGCAGGGAGAAGTGACTTTACCTCCCTTTAAGAGGGATTTGTCTGTCCTAGTTCTCTTGAAGGGGCACGTTGTAAACCTGGTGTCACCGTGTCTGCTCCAGGGAAAGCAGAGTAAATAGCTTTTGGAACCCGCATTATAGAAAGGAATGGAGAGGGTACAGAAGACACTTACCAGGATGTAAATGGGCTGGAGAGCTTTAGTTATGTCAAGAGATTGAATAGACTGGGGTTGTTTTCCTTACAGCAAAGGAGACTCAGGGGGATATGTTTAAGATGTATTAATTATGAGTGGCATAGACACTTTTCTCCTCAGTGACGGAATCAATAACCGGGGTCATAGATGTTATACAAGGGCGAAAGGTTTAGAGGAAACTTGATTTTTTTTTCTCTACCAGAGTATGGCAGGAATCTGGAACACACTGCCTATAAGGGAGATGGAGTCAGAAATCGTCACAGCATTTTAGAAGCATTTAGATGTTCACTCACGATTGCAAGACTTACATGGCGATAGGCCAAGCGCTGGTGAATGGGATTGGAATTGTTATGTGTTTGTTTTTGACTGGCACAGACTTGATGGGCCGAAGGGCCTTTTTAATGCTACAGATCTCTATGACTCTATGACTCGACAAGAGGAAGTTGAACAGTTGTGAAAATATGGTCAGTCTGATGGTGCCACAGTGCTAGTATCACTGGCCCAGCAATCTAGAGGTCCAGGCTAATGCTTTTTGTGCATAGGGTAAAATCCCACCTTAACAGCTGATGCAATTTAATTTCAATAAATAAATCTGCATAAAGCAATTTTTAGTCATGATGTTCATGAAAACTAGCCTCAATTGTCATAAAATTCAATCTGGTTTACTTCCTTTAGGGAAGAAAATCTGCCATCTTTACCTGGTCTAGCCAGCATGTGATTCCAAACCAACAACATTGCCCTCATGCAAGCCATCCAGTTCAAGGGCAATTATACATGGGCAACAAACTTAGACCTTGTCAGTGACGCCCATATCCTGTGAAAGAATGAAAAAAAGAGGACCTGCACTCCAATCACACACTGTCTCTCAGCTCATTCACACACTCCAATCTAATTTCACAGATAATTAACTGATAGAATACTGGTTGAAATTCCCTTGATTTGCTATTATCTGACTTATCAAAGCAATCACTGAAGAAATTTTTAATGATGATTACTTCCTGAAAATGTGAAGTTTATCATTTATAACCGCAATTTCACAGCAGGCCAAAAGGACACTCTGGCTTCAAGTTTAAATCAGGGATGGAAATGAAGCAAGCATTTCCCTATGTGGGTAGCAAACCAGGAAGCACTGTTCAAATGAAAGTCCAGCCAAGGTGAATTATAATAAATTCTTCATTGAATGGCACCTATACCGGTTCAAATCAACTCAGCTATGCAATGCAGTCCCCAGTCATCAACTAAGTGTCTGGGGCTGGTTTGGGAAGGGATTGTTTTAGCCACAAGGGTGCTTTCTGATTATGATGAGTATGTCTTTTCTGTCTGTGATTTCGGAGTCACTTCAAAGCCACAATCAGAATGAACTGAGGGCCAGGAGGAGGTTGGGATAAGCAAGGTCCAAAACTTTCTTGTGGAGCTGGGAGGAGTACTGCTTCTCACTCAGAGGGACAGCTAAAAATACATTGTTTAAACTTACTGGCTAGGCCTCTTCTGAACTATGATCTAACTCCCAGTATGCAATTGGTACAAGGTAGTGGGTGCAGAGAATTAAAATTGGTTGCTATGTGATCTAGCCTCAGTTTGCACTATACAAATGCCAGGCAATGACCATTTCCAACAACAGACAATCTAACCATCAACTTTTGACATTCAATAGTGTCACTATTACTGAATCTTGACTAACAACATCCTGGCGGTTACTATTGACCAGAAACTGAACTGGGCTAGCCATAAAATTATTGTGGCTACAAGAGAAGGTTAGAGGCTCCTCACTTGTCTGGATGAGTGCAGCATCCATACTCAACAAACTTGACACCATCCAGGACAAAGCAACCCGTTTGATTGGCACCATAACCATAAACATTCAGTCCCTTCAGCACCAATTCTCAGCTGATGAAGTAGCAGTGTGTACCATCTATAAGATGTACTGCAGAAAATCACCAACAGAACACCTTCCAAACCCATGGCCACTCGGCAGACAAGGGCAGCAGATACATGGGAACATCACCAACTTCTCCTCCAAGCCATTCAGCATCCAGACATGGAAATATATCGCTGTTCCTTCAGTCTTGCAGGGTCAAAATCCTGACTAATTAAAAAAAGGGTTGTAGTGGCATACCCTCATAGGGTTGTTGAAAGTCTGAGAAGCTCTTTCACTGAAGTTGAACTGATTGGGAATCTTTCTTTCCTGTCGTGGTCTTACTACTTCCTTCTCTTCTTCCTCTTCAGCTCCCTGTAAATTAATATAGATAAAAAGATGCATGAAATGACGACATCTCAAGCACAGGTTTATGCTGAAGTATCATTTAATTAAGCTATGAATTAAAATTTTACAAACTTCTTTTCTTAGAGGTGATTTCTAATGCGTGAACAAATAAATAGGACTCTGCTACAGTACACACTACTCAGGAAGTGCTGCTTTTTCAAAAGTGCTGTCTCTCAGATCAGATGTTAAACCAAATCTATCTGCTTGCTGAATGCAGATAAACCATATCAGAAAATATGAACAACCAAATTAGAAGCAGCAGTAGGATCCTGTGGACAATAATACCACATTTGTAGAGAGTAAAACAGTTGCAAATCACCATATTTTCAAATACTATAAGACCATAAGATGCAGAAGCAGAAACAGACCATTCATTTAGGGGAGGTGATAGCTTAGTGGCATTATTGCTGGACTGTTAATCCAGAGACCCAGGTAATTATCTGGGACCCAGGTTTGAATCCTGCCACAGCAGACGGTGGAATTCAATTGAATTGAATTCAGTAAAAATGCGGACTTATGAGTCTAGTGATGACCATTAAACCATGCTAATTGTCGGGAAAACCCCATCTGGCTCACTAATGTCCAATAGGGAGGGACACTGCCATCATTACCTGGTCTGAATTACATGTGACTCTAGACCCACAGCAATGTAGTTGAGTCTTAACTGCCCTCTGGTCAATTAGGGATGGGCAATAAATGCTGGCCTAGCCAGCAACACCCTCGTCCTGTGAATGAATTTTAAAAAAGCCTATTATGTCTGCTTCACATTCAGTGAGATCATGGATGATCTGATAATTCAACTCCATTTTCCTGCCTTCCCCTCTTAACCCTTGATTCCCCTACTAATTAAAAATTAGTTCATCTCAGCCTTGAATATGCATAACAACATAGCTTTCAGAGTCATCTGCAATGAAGAATTCCATTGATTCAATACTCTCTGGGAGAAAAAAATTCCTCCTCATCTCTTGTTTTAAATATGCAATTCTATATTTTGAGATTATGCCCTTTGGTCCTCAACACTCCAGAAAGGGAAATAATTATTCTGCATTTACCCTCTCAAGTCCCCTAAGAATCTTGTATGGTTGCATCTCATTCTTCTAAATTGCAATTGACTAAAGGCCCACCCTGCTGAACCTGTCCTCATAAGACAATACCTCCATATCTGGTGCCAGTCTACTGAACCTTCTCTTCTGGCTTGCCTCCAATGCCAGTGAATCTTTTCTTGGATAAGGAACACAAAACTGTTCACAGTATTCCAGCTGTGGTCTGACAAGTGCCTTATATAGTTTTAGCAAAACCTCCCTATTATATTCTATTCCCTTTGAAATAAAATTGCCTTCCCTATTATCCGCTGAACTTAGATGTTAGCTTTTTATGATTCATGAATGAGGATCTCCAAATATCTTTCTCAATTTAAATAATATCAGCTCGTCCATTCTTCCTGCCAAAGTGCACATCTCACATGTTCCCACATTATACTCCATCTGCCAAGTGTTTGCCCACTCGCTTAGCCTGTGTATATCCCTCAAGAAAATCTCTTTCTCATCCTCATGACTTTCCTTTCCACCTATTTTTGTGTCATCTGCGAACTTGGCTACACTACATTCACTTTCCTGAAGCAGCCTATTGTACCTTATCAAATGTATTCTGAAAATCCAAATAGAGTCAGAATCAGAGACATACAGCACAGAAATAGACCCTTTGGTCCAACTCGTCCATGCTGACCAAGTTTCCCAAACTAAACTAGTCCCACTGGCCCGAGTTTAGCCTATAACTCTTTAAACCTTTCCTATTCACGTACCTGTCTAAATGTCTTTAAATGTTATAACTGTACCTGGATCTACCACTTCCTCCGGCAGTTCATTCCACATATAAACCACTCTCTGTGTGAAAAAGTTGCCCCTCAGACCTTTTAATATTTCTCCTCCCACCTTAAAAATATAGCGAGACAACAAGGTGTAGAGCTGGATGAACACAGCAGGCCAAGCAGCATCACAGGAGCAGGAAAGCTGATTTTTCGGGTCTAAACCCTTCTTCAGAAATGGGGGAGGGGAAGGGAATTCTGAAATAAATAGGGAGAAAGGGGGAAGCAGATAGAAGATGGATAAAGGAGAAGATAGGTGGAGAGGAGACAGACAGGTCAAAGAGGCGGGGATGGAGCCAGTAAAGGTGAGTGTAGGTGGGGAATTAGGGAGGGGATAGGTCAGTTCAGGGAGGACGGACAGGTCAAGGAGGTGAGATGAGGCTAGTAGGTAGGAGATTGGGGTGGGGCTTGAGGTGGGAGGAGTGGATAGGTGGGAGGACAGGTTAGGGTGGCGGGTACGAACTGGGCTGGTTTTGGGATGCGATTGGGGGAGGGGAGATTTTGAAGCTTGTGAAGTCCACATTGATACCATTGGGCTGCAGGGTTCCCACCCTTCTCTGCTTTCTGGAGGGACCACTCTCTCCGTGACTCCCTTGTCCGCTCCACACTCCCCACCAGCCGCACCACACCCGGCACTTTTCCCTGCAACTGCAGGAAGTGCTACACCTGCCCCTACACCTACCCCCTCAACCCCATCCCAGGCCCTAAGAAGACCTTCCACGTCAAACAAATGTTCACCTGCACATCTGCTAATGTGGTATACTGTATCCGCTGTTCCAAATGTGGCCTCCTCTACATCGGGGAAACCAAGCGGAGGCTTGGGGACCGCTTTGCAGAACACCTACACTCGGTTCACACCAAACAACTGCACCTCCCAGTCGCGAACCATTTCAACTCCCCCTCCCACTCCTTGGACGACATGTCCATCCTGGGCCTCCTGCAGTGCCACAACGATGCCACCCGAAGGTTGCAGGAACAACATCTCATATTTCGGTTCGGAACCCTGCAGCCCAATGGTATCAATGTGGACTTCACAAGCTTCAAAATCTTCTCTCCCCCGACCACATCCCAAAACCAGCCCAGCTCGTACTCGCCTCCCTAACCTGTCCTACTACCTATCCACTCCTCCCACCTCAAGCCCCACCCCCATCTCCTACCTACCAATCTCATCCTGCCTCCTTGACCTGTCCGTCCTCCCTGGATCGACCTATCCCCTCCCTAACTCCCCACCTACACTCACCTTTACTGGCTCCATCCCCGCCTCTTTGACCTGTCTGTCTCTTCTCCACCTATCTTCTCCTTTATCCACCTTCTATCCACCTTCCCCTTTCTCCCTATTTATTTCAGAATCCCCTTCCTTTCCCCCATTTCTGAAGAAGGGTCTAGGCCCGAAACGTCAGCTTTCCTGCTCCTCTGACGCTGCTTGGCCTGCTGTGTTCATCCAGCTCTACACCTTGTCGTCTCAGATTCTCCAGCATCGGCAGTTCCTACTATCTCTTAAAAATATAGCCCCAAGTTTTGAACTCCCCCACCCTCGGGAAAACACCTTTGCCATTCCCCCTATCTACGCCCCTCATGATTTTATAAACCTCTATAAGGTCACCCTCAATCTCCTATGCTCCAGTGAAAAAGTCCCAACCTGTCCAGTTTCTCCTTATAACTCATACCCTCTAGTTTCAACAACATCCTAGTAAATCTTTTCTGAATCCTCTCTAATTCAGTAATATCCTTCCTATAGCAGGGTGATCAGAACTATATACAATACTCTAAAAGTGACCTCACCAACATCCTGTATAACCTCAGTGTTTACCTGAAGAAACCTTCTATTCTACCAAAGCCACCACTATTTGGGAAGAAAGATGATTCTAGTTGGAATACCATGAGAGTATCCTTAAATAAGTAGGAGCTTAAAAGCAAGCAGAGGCAATCAACATCTGTGAATACAACGACCGACCGTTAAAAAGGGAACAGAACTAATAGCAGTGTTAAAATTGCCTCTAGAAGATTAAAACAACTAAGAACCGTGAAACATTTGAGAGCTTCTGCCAAAATTGGAAGAGCTGTCTCACAGACTAGTCAGGCAACAGCTTGATATAGTCACACAGAATGGATTACACCCACTGCTTCCCCTACTCTTTCCTGCTTGTTACCTTCTCAAAGAATTCTAATAAATTTATCAGGCATTATTTCCCCTTTGTGAAGCTATGCTGAGTCTGTTTGATCATATTATGAATTTCTATATGCCCCACTATTACATCCTTTATAATACATTATGAAGTTCTCTCAATAACAGCCAACTGGCCTATATGTACTTTTTTTCTTGGAAGATTATTACTTGTGCATCCACTGTCTCTGCAGCTACTTCTTTTAATAAACTAGGATGCATCCTATCAGGTCCAGGGGATTTATCGGTATTTATCCTCATTATTTCCCCTTAAACATTTTATCAAATGATAGATGTTGCACTTAATTCCTCTCCTTCTTTTGCCCCTTGATTATTTAATTATGTAAAATACATAATTTTGGAATTTGTTTTATTCATTCACAGGATGAGGGCATTGTTAGCCAGGCAGGGCAGTTAGGAGTCAACCACATTGCTATTGGTCTGGAATCACACATAGACCAGACCAGGTAAGGATGACAGTTTCCTTCTCTAAAGAGCATGAGTGAACCAGATGGGATTTTCCTTGACAATTGACAATGGATTCATGGTCATCATTAGACTCCTAATTCCAGTTCTTTTTTTAAATTGAAGTCAAATTCCACCATCTGACATGGCAGGATTTGAACCCAGGTTCCCAGAATATTATCTGGGTCATTGGAGTAACAGTCCAGCAATAATACCACTCGGCTATCATTTCCCCTATTTGAGCCTTCTACTGTGAAGACAGATGCAAAGCATTTGATCAACTTCTCTATTTCTTGGTTCCTCATTATCATTACAACAGCCTCATTCCCAAAGGGGCCAATGTTAACTTTGGCTACTGTTCTTTTTTTATATTTAAAGAAATTCTTGCTGTCTGTCTTGGTATTATGTGCAAGTTCAACTTGAAAGTTTATCTTCTCCCTTTTTTTGGCTTTTGTTGTTTTTTAAATACATGCCTCTTGTTTGGGACACATTGACTCAGAGTCTTTGGAATAAATTTCTCCAGCATTTTGGAGATGGAGTGGGAGATAATGGAACTACAAAATTGGGGAAGCCGCATCAGAACGGTTCGCTGATCGATTTATTGGTTTAGGAGAAATTTCCCAAGCTTGGACTGCAAATAAGGGGTTGCCTGCCTGCTTCAAGGAAACCAGCAGCCAATTTGGGTAATTAAGGCCCTACTTAGTGGTCAATTTTCAGGAACCTAACAACTTACATTTATGCCCAGGTGCCCTTGAAGAGGAAGTATGCAGTGTCCACCAATCCTCTTGATGCCCATAGAGAGAGGTGGGCACCACAGATAGTAGTGTACTTTATCTCCCCTTCCAACTCTAGTTTGATATAGTTCCCTGTCTTCTCCCTACTTCTCCCTCACCTTTGATTGTCTGCATTGCCCTTTATGGGCTTTGCACATAAATTAATCAGCTGGAAAACACTGGTGATTTCATAGTCATGGTTAATAGATGAAAACAAAATGCCACAGGTGATTTGGCAATGGGAAAAAAGCCATATTCGGTTGTGTGTGAGAGCACTTCTGGACATAAAAAAAGAAACCTAGCAACTGTTGATTAACTGCCATAAGAGCAGCCTGCTATAAGATGTGAGGTAGCCTTGCAATGGCAGGTCACAGTGGTGTCAGAGATGTAGGCTCCATGGTTCAGTGACCGATCACAGAGATGAAAGGCCTCAACTATGATCCACCAGAGGGGCTTTCCTTCCACCCTGATGCCATTGCTGTCTTCAAACTTCTTTAACTGGTGACCTCTCTATGAGTAATTAAGACCTGCCTCTCCCAATGTGCCTGCTAGGTAACATGGCTATGAGCCCTCTGATTGAACATGAATCCATGCTTAATAGGATGGCAAGCTTGCAGGTAGCCTGCTGGAAGTTTATGTCAGCAGATATGCTGATTACATGAGCATGCTCAGGATGGGGAGGCACAGCGGCTCAGTTGTCAGCACTGTTGCGTCACAGTACCAGTGACCCAGGTATGATTCCAGCCTTGAGCGACTGACTGTCTGTGTGGAGTTTGCACATGCTCCCCGTGTCGGCGTGGGTTTCCTCCAAGTGCTCCAGTTTCCTCCCACAGTCCAAAGGTGTGCAGGTTAGGTGGACTGGCCATGCTAAATTACCCATTGTGTCCAGTGATGTACAGGTTAGATGGATTAGCCATGGGAAATGCAGGGCTACAGGGATAGGGTAGGAGTTGGGTCTGGGTGGCATGCTCTTCAGAGGGTCAGTGTAGGTTCGATGGACTGAATGGTCTGCTTCCACACTGTAGAGATTCGATTCTTTGATACCATTTTGGTACAGTTCTAATGCCAGGGAAATCAGCACCTTGATCTGGAATTCAAGTAAGATACTCTTTGACCTGTCTGAACTGAAGAGGGAGGAATATATGGATAGTTTTCTCTAGTGTACAGTCAGGCCTCAGAGGAAAGCACAGATGTACGAAGGTAAGTATGTGTGACTGTTAGTAATAGAATAGATATGGGAAACCAAGTGGGGAGAGGCCCAGACCAACAGGTATGATTTACTTGCTACCTGTGAGAATAAGAACGTAGGCCATGAGGTGAAAACCCAGAATGTTCTCCATGTGACAGGAGAACAAAAGTCAGTACAAGATGTAGAGAGAAGTAGAAATGTAACAGAAAGTCTGTAGTCATTGGAACTTAACAGTTAGGGAGTAGACAGCATCCTCTACAATTATGACTGAGAATCCAGAAGTATATTTTGTCTGTTTACCGTAAAGGGCATCCAGAGCAACTTAGACAGGGAAACATAGCAGTACAGAAAATAGGAGGAGAAATAGGAGTAGGTCCTTTGGCTCATCAAGCCCGCTCTGCCATTCAACATGATCATGGGTATTGCTCTATCCTGATGCCTTACTCTCACTCTCTCATCAAACCTCTTGACATCTTAAGCCTCTAGAAGTCTAGCTGATTCGTAAATATGTTCAGTGACAGCTTCCATAGCCTTCTACGGTAGAGAAATCCACAGGTTCACCACTTTCAGACTGAAGAAATTTCTCCTCATCTCATTCTGGAATTAACTCCTGTATAACCTGAGACCATGACCCATTGCTCTGTATATCGCAGCCAGAGGAAACATAATCTCTTAACTTAGTCTGATCAGCTCCCAGAATTTTATGTTTCAGTGAGATCTTCCTTCATTCTTTTAAACTGGCTGAACCAATCTTTCCTCATTCAACAAACCTGCCATTCCAGGAACCAGTGGAATTTTCACTCCAGTGGCAGTTATATCTTTTCTAAGATAATGAGTTCATAAATGCATACAGCACTCCTGGTGCAGTCTCACCAAAGTCCTGAACAGCGGCAGTAAGACTTCTTTGTTCATGTACTCAAACCTTATTGCAATGAAAGCTAACATCTGGATTTCCAAAAGGCATTTGACAAGGTGCTACACCAAGGCTGCTACATAAGATAAAGTTGCAACAATATTACAGGTAATGTATAGGCAAGGATAGAGGATTGATTGACTAGTAGAAAGCAAAGAGTAGGGGTAAATGCGTGTTTTTCTGGTTGGCGGTCAGTGGCTAGTGGCGTGCCTCAGGGATCAGTGTTGGGACCGCAATTGTTTACAATTTACATAGATGATTTGGAGTTGGGGACTAGGTGTGGTGTGTCAAAATTTGCAGATGACACTAAGGTGAGTGGTAGAGCAATGTGTGCAGAAGACACTGAGAGTCTGCAGAGGGTTATAGATAATCTAAGTGAGTGGGCAAAGGTCTGGCAGATGGAGTACAATGTTGATAAGTGTGAGGTCATCCATTTTGGTAGGAATAACAGGAAAATGGACTCTGTTTCAAATGGTAAAAAATTGCAGCTGTGCAGAGGGGCTTGGGTGTCCTTGTGCATGAAACGCTAAAAGTAGGATTGCAGGTGCAGCAGGTAATTAAAAAGGCAAATGGAATTTTGTCTATCATTGCTAGAGGGATGGAGTTTAAAACAGGAGGCTATGCTGCAGCCATATAGGGTCCTGGTGAGGCCACACCTGGAGTACTGTGTGCAGTTTTGGTCTCCTTACTTGAGAAGGGATATACTAGCACTGGAGGGGATGCAGAGGAGATTCACTCGGTTGATTCCAGAGTTGAGAGGGTTGGATTATGAGGACAGATTGAGTAGGCTGGGATTATACTCATTGGAATTCAGAAGAATGAGGGGAGATCTTATAGAAACATATAAGATTATGAAGGGAATAGATAAGGTGGAGGCAGGGAGGTTGTTTCCGCTCGCAGGTGAAACTAGGACTGGGGGCTTGGCCTCAAAATAAAGGGAAGCAGATGTAGGACTGAGGCCAGGAGGAACTTCTTCACCCAAAGGGTTGTGAGTCTGTGGAATTCCCTGCCCAGTGAAGCGGTTGAAGCTACCTCGCTGAATGCGTTTAAGGCTAGATAAATTTTTGAACAGTAAAGGAATTAGGGGATATAGTATGCGAGCGGGTAAGTGGAGCTGAGTCTCAAAAAGATCAGCCATGATCTTATTGAATGGTGGGGCAGCCTCGAGGGGCCGGATGGCCTATTCCTGCTCCTAGTTCTTATGTTCTTATGTTCTAACATACCATCTGCCCTCCAGGTACTCCAGCATTCTTGCTGTAAAATAACACTAAGGTCCCTTTATATGTCAACATTTCTCAATCTATCACTCTTTAAACCATACTCTGCTATTCTCTCTTCCATATTTCACACTTATCCAGATTATGCTGCACCTGCCATGTATTTGCCCACTCACTCAACCTGTCTAAATTAGCCTTAAGCTTCTTTACATCTTCCTCACCATTCACAATCCCACAGTATCTTTGTCATCAAGGAAATAATGAGGTGTTGTGGGCTATATTGCAATCAATGGTCTAAAAAAATAGAAGTTTGGAAAATAAATTTATTCTGAAAAACACTGCGTAATAATCACTGACTGCTGTAAAACACTCATCCGGCTCATTAATGTCCTCTTTAGAAAAGGAACATTGTTCATCCTTAACCAGTCAGGCCTACATGTGATTCCAGATCCACAACAATGTGGTTGAGTCTTAACTGCCCTATTACAAACCATTCAGTTCAAAGGCAACTGGGTTATGAGCAAATGCTAGCCTCATCAGCAATGCCCACATCCCATGAAAGATTTTTTTTAAAAATCAAGAATCCAGCAAATTTCAGGAACTTCTCTTTCAGTTTGTTTTTGTTTTGTCCCTGACTAGCACCCAAATCGCTAGGTCTCTCAAATGAGTATGTACTCTTATGCCAGTGAATGTAACAAATTTTCATCATATCCATTGTGTGGGTGTGTGCAAACAGGTTAATCAAATTACACGCTTGTACCTTTGCATCTGGGAGTTCTTCCTCTTCTGTATCCATTTTCTCTGCGCTTTCAGTTGGAAGAGGTGCACTAATATCTTCAGCATCACTCTCTGTATAATGGAATGGGAAAGGCTGTAATATTATGGTTGGACTATAATGACACCAAAAATAGCGACAACCACATCCCATGAACAGATGAAATAAGGCATTTTTTAGTCTTCATTATTAAGGATACAAGTAACATTCCGGAAATAGCTGTGAATCAGGAAGTGGAGGGAAGGAACTCAAGAAAATTATATTCACCAAGGAAGTGGTACAGAGCCAATTGCTGGGACTGCAGCTGACAAGTGCCTAGTTCCTGATGGATATCATCCTTAGGTCTTCAAAGAAGTGGCAAATGAGAGTGAGTCGATGTGTTGGCTTTGACTTTTTAAACCTTCCCTGGATTTGAGGAGGTTTCATTTCATTGTAACGTGATGCATGTAATTCCACTATTCAAAAAAGGAGAAGAAAGCAGGGAACTATAGGCTAATTAGCTTAACATCTGTCATAGGAAGAATGTTACTAAAAAGTTATAGAATAGCACTTGCTATCGATGAAGGTAATCAAGCAGGGCAAATATGGTTTTCTGAAGGGGAAATCACATTAACAAATGTATTATTGTTCTTACAATCATAGAGTCATTGAAGTATACAGGACAGAAACAGGCCCTTCAGCCCAACTCACCGATGCGGCCAGGTTTCCTAAACTGAATTAGTGCCATTTGGCTCTTTCCTCCTAAACCTTTCCTATCCATGTACCTGTCCAAATGACCAAGTGGTGTGTTGAAGTGGCAGGCAACTGGAAGTTCAGGGTCTTTTCTCTGGATAGTACATAGGTGTTCTGCGAAGCAGTCACCCAGTCTAAACCCACCCAAATATTTGTTGCAGTGTATTTTGTGTAGATGGTACATTCTGTTGTTCCTGTGTTTCAGTAGTAAGGGGTGAGGAGTAAATGATAGGTAGAGATAGAGCCCAAGTCGTAACTGTAGCTACCTCTACCACTTCCTTGGCAGCACGTTCCATTTATGCATCATCTTCTGTGTTAAAAAGTTGCCCCTTAGAACCCTTTTAAATCTTTCCCCTCTCAATGTACACCTACGCCCTCTAGTTTTGGACTCCCCAACCCTGTGGAAAAGGCCTTGGCCATTCACCTTATCTTTTGAAGTATTTATTTATTGTCACGTGTATTTTGTGACAAAATTCTCTGGCACCATCTTAAAACACAGAAAAATAAACTAAAATATAGAATATGAATGCAGAAAAATAAAGAAATAAAGAAAAAGTGTTCAAATTTACAGTCTTCCTTCTTAAGTGCTCCGTCATGGGTCTGGTTACCACCCACAAGTCCCCTCTACCACGCTGCTGACATTGGAACAATAGTCGCCACTCTTTGGTGCCGTCTTGCCATTATGAGTCCTCACTGTACCTCACCCATGCAGCTGCTACCGATGCCACCGGGTTCCACACCGGACCAAACTCGAATCTGCTGCTGCCATGAATCCACTTTGGGCCCACCTCACCAATGCCGCCGCTGCCAATGGGACTCATATTGGGCTAAATTTGCCCTCAGCCTCCTACATAACAGGGAAAAAAACTACCGACCTAACCAGCCTCTCCTCATAGCTCAAACTTTCCATTCTCGGTAGCATCCTTGTAAATCATGGTCATAGAGTCATACAGCATGGAAATAGACCCTTCAGCCCAACTTGTCCATGCCAACCAGGTTTCCTAAACTGAGCTAGGCCAATTTGCCCTGGAAATATACTCTGGAAAAGCCAAGGAAATAAGGGAGAAAACTCTCCACTGGTTGGAGTCACACCGAGCACAAATGAAGATGGTTGCAGAGGTCATTGGAGCTCAATTATCTTAGTCCCAGGATATCATTGGAGGAGTTCCTCAATGTAGTGTTCTGGGCTCAACCATTTTCAGCTTCATCCTTCTCTCTATCATTAGGTCAGACGTAGGGATGTTCACTAATGACTGCACAATGTTCAACACCATTCGCAAATCCTCAGATACTGAAGCATCATGTCCCAAAGCAGCAAGACGTGAACAGCAATATTTGCACTACGCAAAAGTCAGGCAATGATCTTCTCCAACAAGGAAGATTCAACCATCATACTTAAACTCAAAGACATTATGATCATCAAATGCCCATTATCAATAAAATAAAAGCTGAAAGAAATGCAGATGCTGGAAATCAGAAACAAAAACAGAAATTGCTGGAAAAGGTCAGCAGGTCTGGTAGCATCTGTGGAGAGAAATCAAAGTTAACATTTTTGGGTCCAGTTCCACAGAACTGATAAAAACTAGGAGAAAGTTGTTTTTTTATGCAGAAGCAAGGGTGGGGGGCTTGGGGTGAGGAGTAAATGATGGGTAGAAATAGAGCCCAAGGAGAAGGAAGTATAGTTGGACAGACAAAGGAGTGGATAACAATCAGCCTAGGAGAATGATTAGCTACTAATGGAGACAATTAATGGCTAACAATGGGTTGTGCGTAATAGCAGACTTTGTAATATTAAGGTCTGGTTTGTGGGGGTTGGGGTAAGGTCATGGGAGAAGGTGCCTCAGGCCCTAAAATTGCTGAATTCGATATTGTGTCCAGAAGGCTTGAGTTCCCAAGTAGAAAATGAGTTGCTGTTTCTCCAGCTTGCGCTGAGCTGTGCTGAAGCACAGTAGCAACCCAATCAGAGATGTTGGCCAGGGAACAAGGTGGTGTGTTGAAGTGGCAGGCAACTGGAAGTTCAGGGTCTTTTCTGTGGATAGTACATAGGTGTTCTGCGAAGCAGTCACCCAGTCTAAACCCACCCAAATATTTGTTGCAGTGTATTTTGTGTAGATGGCACATTCTGTTGTTCCTGTGTTTCAGTAGTGAGGGAGTGATGTTTGAAGATGTGTAATTAAACAGATGTGTTACATCTGGTACATTACACCCTAGCTGTTCTGTCTTGGCACTTATAGTCTCTGAACACTCCACAAATTGATGAGTCGTAGAGTTATAAAGCACAGAAAAAGACCCTTCAGTCCAACCAGTCCATGCCAACCATAATCCCAAACTAAACTAGTCCTGCATGTCTACGCTTGGCCCATATCCTTCCAAACATTTCTTATTCATGTACATATCTAAATGTCTTTAAAACATTGTAACTCTACCCACATCTAACACTTCCTCTGGAAGTTCATACCACACATGAACCACACTCTGCGCAAAAAATTGCCTGTCATGTCTTTTTTAAATCTTTCTCCTCTTAGTCTAAAAATATGCCCCCTGGTCTTGAGATCCCCCACTCTATGGAAAAGACCTGGAATTTACCTTATCTATACCCTTCAAGACTCTATAAACATCTATCACTCGTCATGCTCCAGTGAAATGAGTCCCAGCCTATCCAGCCTCTCCTTATAGCTCAAAACTTCCAGTCCCGGTGACATCCTGATAACTCTCTTCTGAACCCTCTCCAGCTTGATAATATCCTTTCTATAACAGGGCGACCAGAAGTGGACACAGTACTCCAAAAGAGGCCTTACCACCGTCATGTATAACCTCAACATTGTGTCCCAACTCTTGTCCTCAAAGGTATGAGCAATGAAGGCAAGCGTGCTAAATGCCTTCTTAACTGCTCTATCTATATGTGATGCAAACTTTAAGAATTATGTAACTGAACCCTTAGGTCCCTGTGTTGTACAACACAATCCCGAAGGTCCTACTTTAAATTGTTTATGATCTACCCATGTTTGTTTTACCAAAATGCAATACCTCGCATTTATCCAAATTAAAATCCATCTGCCATTCTTCAGCCCATTGATCCAATTGATCAAGATCTCTGTAATCTTAGATAACCATTTTTACTGTGCACTATTCTGCCAATTGTGCTGTCATCTGCAATCTTATTAACATGCCTTCTATATTCTCATCTAAATCACTTATACAAATGACAAATAAAAGTGCATCCAGCACTGATCCCTGTGGAAAACTGCTGGTAACAGGCCTCCAGTCTGAAAAACAACCCTCCACCATTCCTCTCTGTCTCCTGCTGTTAAACCAATTTTATATCCAATTTTTTTATTCATTCACAGGATGAGGGCATCGTTGGCTAGGTCAGCATTTATTGCCCATCCCCAGAGGGCAGTTAAGAGTCAACCACATTGCTGTGGGTCTAGTGTCACATGTAGGCCAGACCAGGTAAGCATGGCAGATTTCCTTTTCTAAAGCACATTAGTGAACCAGGTGAATTTTTCCTGACAATCGTCAATAGATTCATGGTCATCATTAGACTTTTAATTCCAGATTTCTATTCAATTCAGCATGGTGAAATCTGCCATGGTGGAATGCGAACCTCTGTCACCAGAACATTATCTGGGTCTCAGGATTAACAGTCCAGTGAAAATACCACTGGGCAATTGCCTCCTCCAGAGGGTGGCAAGCTCACCCTGAATCCCATGTGATCGAACCTTACTAATTAGTCTACCAAGCAAAATCTTTGTCAAAGTCTTTACTAACATCTAAGTAAACAATGATGTGGAGGTGCCAGTGTTGGACTGTGGTGGATGAGGTCAGAAATCACACAACACCAGGTTATAGTCCAGAGATAGTAGGAACTGCAGATGCTGGAGAATCTGAGATAACAAGGTGTAGAGCTGGATGAACACAGCAGGCCAAGCAGCATCATAGGAGCAGGAAGGCTGACGTTTCGGGCGTGTGTGTGAGAGTATATAGTGTGGTAGGGTCACCTGTAGTGCGACATGAACCCAAGATCCTAGTTGAAGCCGTCCTCATGGGTACCAAACTTGGCTATCGGGCTCTGCTTGGCAGCTCTGTGTTGTTGTGTATCCCGAAGTCTGCCTTGGAGGACGTTTACCCGAAGATCCGAAGCCAAATGTCCTTGACCGCTGAAGTGTTCCCCTCACACACACACTCACACATGTGCACGCGTGCACACACATATAAATAAATAGGATGAATTTGTATTTGCAGATACATTCTATTTTGTTCAAAAAGCACACAATTGATAGGCAGTCAGTCAATGTGGCATTTTATAAATTCCTTCTTTAGAAATAAAACCAGTATGATTCCAAACCTAAATATAAACAGATTCTAAACAAGACCTCACACCTAACATGCATACATGCATTGTCTGACCTAAAATGTCACCTCTTCCTTACATTGATAAAATTTTTAATTTTCACAGGACAGTGACTTCAAAGGAATCTGGGGATTTACATATGCATATTAATCAATTAAAACCTTTGAACTGATTAAAGATTTAACAACATCTTAGGTTTGTTGTATATCCTCATAAGTGGTGTGACCCTTTGATCTTTTACTTATAAATTCTGTGTCTGATACTACCTCTCTCACTAACACCTGAAGAAGGAGTAAGACTCTAAAAGCTTGTGTTTTCAAAAAAACCTGTTGGACTATAACTTGGTAATAGTAGGAACTGCAGATGCTGGAGAACCTGAGATAACAAGGTGTAGAGCCGGATGAACACAGCAGACCAAGCAGCATCAGAGGAAGGGTCTAGGCCTGAAACGTCAGCCTTCCTGCTCCTCTGATGCTGCTTGGCCTGCTGTGTTCATCCAGCTTTACACTTTGTTATCTCGGACTATAACTTGGTTTTGTGTGATTTCTGACCTAAGTAAACAATATTTACCACTCTGCCCTCTTCAATCTACTTGGTTACTTCCTCAAAAAACTCAATCAAGTTTGTCAGTCATGATTTTCTTCACACAAAACCATGCTGACTACCCCTAATCATTCTTTGGCCCTCCAAATGCATATAAATCCTATCTTTCAGAATCACTTCCAACAGCCTACCTATCACAGAAGTCAGACTCACAGGTCTATAGTTCCCAGACTTCTCCTTACACCCCCTCCTAAACAAAGGCACAACATTAGCCACTCTCCAGTCATCCAGCACCTCACCCGTAGTTATACATGATACAAATATTTCTGCATTGGGCCATAAAATTTCTACCTCTGATACAGACAACACAGAATAAAACCAAAAGAAATCTGAAACAAAAACAGAAACTGCTGGAGAAGCAAGTATGGCAGCACCTATGTAGAGAGAAACAGAATTAACTAGTTCTGAGGAAACGTTGCTGGACCTGAAATGTTGACTCTGCTTTCTCTCCACAACTGCAGCCAGACCTGCTGAGTTTCTCCAGCAGTTTCTATTTTTGTTACAGACAACACAGATGCTGACTTTCAGGGCTCAGGGGACTGACTGGTCTACACCAGAAATTGCAAATCGCACTGAGTAACTTGCCAGGAACTTCAATTGTCTCTCATGAAGTGGTCATGTCAGGGCCTGGTATTGAAAAGGTGATTTCAAAAAACAGTGCTCAGCTTTCCCATTTAATGAATACTACTGGTTTAAGAAACAATGAAGACAATCAAGTCATCCATTCCACTGAAAATTGTTCTGACTCTCTGATTCCAGTGCATCCATTCATGTGATGTTTTGCCTTGTTGAAATGAATTCATTTTTAAAAGATGGGGCATTAGTTGCTAGAATACAGAAAAATATTAAAGCTTTCAAGTAATGTCACCATTTAAGTCTCTGTACAAAATCCACGCAGATCTTATACATCTTGTGTCTCCTTATGCGATAAACACTTCCCTATAAAATTCAAATTTGACTACATCTTTTGCAGATGCTTCAACCAAATCCACGAACAATCACTAGGTGGCAGTCACATATCTAAGTATGCTGTTAACTTTTAAAGGTAAATCTGATGCTCCAACAATCCCAAAAGTTGCACTCGAAGGCTGCACTGGTTGAAGACAGGGTCTCCAAAATTCAAGCTTTAATTATCCAACAGACTATACCCTTTGAGTTTAGCTCTCTGTTTGACAAGCAGTAACACTGATTTTGCTGAATAATCACGTTCTCATCTGTTCATTCTGCACAAAGAATACTGACCTATCAATATAGTGTGCAAAATTCAAAATTTGCAGATAATTTTAATGGAGTAGATTAGCTCTTGACACTAATAATTTTCTTCTGAATAAAACTGTCATTTTAGTCAGTCATCTGACTTCATTTATTTAAGAAACAGTGTTATCCCTATTGTCATCTTCTGAATTATTTTGTATTTTAGTAAATCGTATGTAAGATAAATTAACTGGATATTGCAAATGATGAAAACTTATTTTCATATATACCCTATTCCCATCATGATGAGAAAGAAAACATCAGAAAGATGATCAGAAGCCAATAGTAGTGAAAGATGCAATTGGCTAATGTAATACAATGCAGAATAGTTGTCGATTTTGTGATGTGTACATATAGAAGTCATAGTGTCATACAGCATGGAAACAGTGCCTTCAGTCCAACTCATCCATGCCGACCAGACATTGCAATAAATGAAAACCAAAAGAACTGCGGATGCTGTAAATCAGGAACAAAATCAAAGTTGCTGGAAAATCTCAGCAGGTCTGGCAGCATCTGTGGAGGAGAAAAC